ATCAGCCCTGGATGTCAGCACAGGAAAGATGACAACCCTTGAAGATTTAGACATTATAAGCCAAGTAGAAAGAACTGCAAACCTATTATTTTACAATGCCTCAGGCATAAGTCTCAAAAACTTGAGGTTTCTGAGCGGCTGGGATTGCCTGTTCTATCCTTTCCCTTGGCTAAGTGTCTATCACAGCATTTCTAACCCACTAACAATTTTAGTTCAAAATATCACAAGTCTAACTTAAGGCATATTCATAGATACTCCAATAGCCAAAATTGTACTTATACACTTAAATTCATGCAGGTGCTTGTGTCCCTCCTGAGCAAAAGCAAGACAAACCAGAAGGATCTAACGTTAGGAGGTGCTAACAGGAGGAAAATCAAAGCCGGGGGAATGAACCTGTTTTGTGAGATGTGCTGAAAAACCCGTGAAGGGGACAAAACCTTCATACACACCACAGGAGACAGACAAAGGTAAATTTTCACTGCGCCAAGCTGTCTTCAGGAAGCCTGAAGAGCAGAGGCTGGCTGAGCACGTGACAAGCAATCACCCAAAGAAAGAAGGAAATCAATCTGTCCTCATTCATACAAAGCATGAGCCCTTACACAGATCTTTGAAAGCACACCCACTGTGCTCCAATAATAACAACACTACTTCACTCTTCATTTGGTCTGAGGAGGAAAAAATTAAAATCACACACTCCTGGCCCTGCAGAATAACAAGCTGCCACCAGGACAGTGACTCAAGTCACTGCCTGCAAGCCTGAGGTTCACTTTGCACAGCCAAGTGAGCGCCCTTCATATAGGGAAGGTCAGGATGATTCCCAGGCTGGCCAGACCCGAGTCTTATAGCCAATTGCAGATACAGGTGCCAGCAGAAAATAACCAACATGACTTTCTGGTCCCCAGTGGTGTGCAAGGGTACATGAAGAAAGCTGACACAGTGGCTTTGTTAGTGTCTCGTCCACAGTTCCCTGGTAAGCAAGCATAAGGCTAAAATTATGTAGCAGAGAAATGCAGTTCCATGTCACCAGAACAGACTCACCTATGACTTCATTGAGCAACATTAAGGAAATGACAAACATGTCTGTCTTACCTCTTCCCAGGACAAAAAGGAATATGCCAAGCACAGAAGTAATTTAACAACTTTTGTGGATTACAACATCAATTCTATCACCTCCAAAGTTGTCTGTGTCAACAGCAAAGTTGGAATGGAATTGCCACCCTTAAAGTGCTCAGTTTTCTTCAGCTACATGTTCCAGCCAGTTACTTTTTTAACACCCCACAACCCAAGTGCTTCATCCTGATAACACCTAGGGCCACGAATTAAGGGCTTAGTTTGACTGGCAACATACAGACTTGTTCCAACGAGATGCTCCCTGCCCCAAGGAGCTTGCTTGCAAGCAAAGCTTAGAAAATAGACTCCTACACTTTAGCTACTACCCAAATGTGCAAGGGCACAAGAGTTGGAGATGGATTTGGAAGAAATGCAGTTGTGTGAAAAATCCCTAATGACCAAGAGCAGCCCTGAGGACCTGAAGGTGCTGGTTGACGAGAAGCTCAACATGAGCCAGCAGTGTGCACTTGCAGGCCCAAAACCAACCGTATCCTGGGCTGCACCAAAAGGAACATCACCAGCAGGTCAAAGGAGGTGTTTCTCTCCCTCCACTACCATAAGACCTCACCTGCTGTACTGTGTTCAGCTCTGGAGGCAACAACACAAGAGGGACATGGACCTGCTTGAGCAAGTCCAGAGGAGACCACAAAGAACATCAGAAGGCTGAAGCACCTTGCCTATGGAGACAGGCTGAGAGAGTTGGGCTTGTTCAGCCTGGAGAAGAGAAGGCTCCGGGGAGACCTTAGAGCAGCTTCCAGTGCATAAAGGGGCCTACAAGAAATCTGGAGAGGGACTTTTTACAAGGGCATGTAGGGACAGGACAAGGGGGAATGGCTTTAAACTGACAGAGGGGAGATTTAGATATTAGGAAGTTCTTCTCCATGAGGGTGGAAAGACACTGGCACAAATTGCCCAGAGAAGCTGTGGCTGCCCCATCCCTGGCAGTGTTCAAGGCCAGGTTGGACGGGGCTTGGAGCAACCTGCTCTAGTGAAAGGTGTCCCTGTCCCTAAATGAGCTTTAAGGTCCGTTACAACCCAAACCGTTCTCTGACGATTCATGATTTAGCCACAGCAGCTGACGGACTCTAAGCCAACTGGCTGGACTATGAACCATAACAGCTCAGAACAGACATGCTGCCACTTAGCCACCTTTGCTACAGTGGAACAAGTGCCTAGTGCAGAGAAAGCCAGGT